TCTCTTGCAACCTTTAAAATTATCACTATTTTTTTTGTCATTTTAATTACTATGTGGCTTGGTGTAGACCTGGGTTGAATATGTTGGGGGATCTTTGTGCCTTCTGAATCTGGATCTCTGCTTCTCTTCCCAGATTCAGGATATTTTCAGCTATTTCTTCAAATACATTTTCTGTACCTCACCTGCCTTTTCTCTCTCTTTTCCTTCTGGGATCCCTATAATGTGAATGCTAATTCTGCTTGATGGTGTTGCTGAGTTCTCCTAAGTCTATTCTCATTTTGCAGCATTTATTTTCTCTCACCTGTTCAGCATGTTTCCCCATACCCTATCCTCCAGGTCACTGATATGCCCCTCTGCTTCCTGTAGCCTACTATTCCAACTGTTGTATTTTTAATTTCATCTGTTGAGTTCTTCATCTCTGACAGGTTATTTTTTTAAATCTCTTTGTCAAGGGTCTCACTGATGTCCTCTACCCTTTTCTGAAGTCCAGTAAGTGTCTTTATGATCATTACCTTAACTTCTCTATCAGGCATATTACATATTTCTGTTTCCACTTATATTTCCTGCTGTGATTTTTGTCTTGTTCTTTCAGAACCAACTTCTTTATAATAGCATTTACCACATTCAGTAGTAATTTATCTGGTTATCTCCTACAGCCCAACCCTATAACTCCTTCCCCAACTATCCTGGGAGATCCTTGTCTTTTCTGGGTTTATCCTAGGACAAATTTAGCACAGGACTAGTAGGAACTACTACATTCCTCATAGGACTTCGACAAATGAATGAATTCTTCTTTGTCCTGCTTCTAAAAACCAAATGTCCTGTTATTCACCTTTAATATTTGAGGGAGCTATTTTTCTTTTTTGTAGTTAGTTATGTTTTTGAACTCTTATGTAGGCATTGTTGGAGTTTTGCTCTCTTAATTCTATTAATTGCCTATATATCAAATACCTTTCTGCAATTCATTTTTCCTTAAACATTTTTTCCAGTCCTGCCGGTGAGTCAGTAGCTGAAGTATCAGGAAGTGATTTTTAAAATATCTTTTAAATACCTATAATTACATACAGCAAACCCACATATCCTTCCCTGACCCCATACTCTAGACTTTGATCCTCCTATTTTTAATTCAAGGAAAAAAATGTAAAATGACCTGGAGTGGAAATGGCAAAATGTAACTGAAAGTGCATTGCTCTCATCTCTCAAATTTGTATGAAATTTAAAGCTAGAAGAAATACTAATAATTACCCAGGCTTCATCCTTTTCTCAAATCCTTTTTTTCTGAAAACAGGATCAGAAGTCCTAAAGGTCCTTAGGTTGCCTAGCAAATTAGTGGCAGTTGGACTAGAACTTGTACTTCCTGATTCCAGGACACGTGTTCTTTCTTTTACATCATACTAACTGTTCATGAAAAAATTCAGTGTTTTTGAAAGGCCTATCAAATATGCATTTGGATCTCTTCAAGCTTCTATTTCCTCATATGTAAAGCAGGGATAATAATAGGAACTACATCATGGGTTTGTTTTGAGAATTTTTAATTGAAGTGTGGTTGACACATGTTACATTAGTTTCAGGTGTACAACATAGTGATTCCACATCTCCGTGTATTATGCTATGCCTGCAAGAATAGCTGACGTCTGTGGCTATATGATGACATTATAATACTGTTGACTATATTCTTTGCGCTGTACCTTGTATCTCAGTGACCTATCAATTCCATAACCAGGAGTCTGTACTTCCCACTTGACTTTATCCTTTTTGCCCCATCCCCTAATCACCAGATTCTTTTCTGTGTTTATGGGTCGGTTTCTGTTTTTGTTTTTGTTTTTTAATTTTGTTAGATTCCACATATGAGTGAACTCACATAGTGCGTGTTTTTCTTTGACTGGCTTATTTCACTTGGTGTAATACCCTCCTAGATCCATCCATGTTATTGCAAGTGGCAAGATTTCATTATTTATAGCTGAATAATAAACCATTGTGTGTGTGTGTGTGTGTGTGTGTGTGTGTGTATGCTACTTCTTCTTTATCCATTCATCTACCCATAGACGCTTGGCTGCTTCTCTAATTTGGCTATGTTGCAGCATAATTTACAATAGCCAAGATATGAAAGCAATGAAATGTCCATGGATAGATGAATATGAATATATATTTATATAAAATGATGGAATATTATTCAGCTATAAAGAATGAAATCTTGCCATTTGCAACAACATGGATGGATCTATGATATTACACTAAATGAAACAGTGTAATTTCAAAGTCAGAGGACAAATGCCAATATTATTTCACTCATATGTGGAATTATGAACAAAGGAAAAAAAGAGAAACCAAAACAAAACCCCAGACTCTTAACTGTAGAGAACAAACAGATGGCTACCAGAGGAGAGGTGGGTGGAGGAATGGGTGAAATAGGTGAAGGAAATTAAGAATACACTTGTCTTGATGAGCATTGAGTGATGTATAGCATTGCTTAATCATTATATTGTACGCTTAAAACTATGTCGACTATACTAAAATTAAAATTTTAATACTACAATAAACATAAGGGTGCATATATATATTTTTATTTTATTTTTTTGCATATATCTTTTTAAATTCGTGTTTGTGTTTTCTTTGCATAAATACCTAGTAGGGGAATTACTGGACGATATGGTATGTTGACTCTTAATTTTTTGAGGAACCTCCATACTGTTTTTCACATTGTTGCATTGATTTGCATTCCTACCAACCGTGTAAGAGGCTTCCTTTTCTCTACATCCTCACCCCCACACGTTATTTCTTTTGAGTCTAGTCATTCTGACAGGTGTGAGGTGGTATCTCACTGTGGTTTTGATTTACATCTCTCTGATGTTGGTAATGTTGAGCACCGCTTCATGTCTGTTGGCCATCTGGATGTCTTCCTTGGAAAAATGTCTATTCGGGCCCCTTATCCATTTTTAATTGGTGTGTGTGTGTGTGTGTGTGTGTGTGTTGAGTTGTATAAGGTCTTTATATATTTTGAACATTAATCCCTTATCAGATACATCATTTGCAAGTATCTTCTCCCATTCAGTAGGTTGCCTTTTCATTTTGTTTCCTTCACTATGCAAAAGCCTTTTATTTTGCTGTAGTCCCAATAGTTTGTTTTTGCCTTTGTTTCCTTTCCCGGAGGAAAGGAAATGGACTGATGTTAAAGAAATCATTGCCTGGGTTTTCTTCTAGGAGTTTTATGGTTTTATGTCTCATTTTTAGGTCTTTAGTCCATTTTGAGTTTGTATATGGTATAAAAAGTAGTCCAGTTTCATTGTTTTTGCATTCTTTCCCAGCACGATCTAACAGAGACTGTTTTCCTCATTGTACATTCTTGCCTCCTTTGTCATAGAATGACCATATAAACATGGGTTTATTTCTGGTTTTTCCATTCTGTTCACATGCCAGCTTTTACTTAGGCTTGTCCTTAACCTGGTCCTAGGGGACATTAATGCTCCAGTCTATCATTGTCTGGAATGAAGCAGGTACTGCTGGCCAGGTTTTTCCAGGGTGTGACTGCCTTAGGCCTGCCCCTAATATATCAACTTATGGATCCACAGGGCCCTTATGATGTCACAGGATGACTATCTTATGGACCAGATTTAAAGTCTTTTAGTGAATAGGGCTGTCACTTTTCTCTAAACAGATTGTGTGTGTGGTAGGATGGGGACGGGGGTGGCGACTGGATCTAGAGACCAGCAGTAGCAACTTGCACATAGATGTTTTGGTTGCACAGTTCTTAGACTTCTAAACCTGGGATCTTACCATTCTGTATCTCAATGATTTCAATTACTTGTTTTTATAATTGATGATCTAGAATTTATAGGCTATAGGTATGCTTCATGTGTATAATTCTCGATGATCTACAACTTCTAACTTTTGCCCCTTTATGCTAAGCTTTGCTCTTTCCATAGTTCTCTTTTGTAGTTCCAGTGATCTTCTACTAACCATTAAGTCATTAGCATTTTAGGATGAATTTGTTTGGATTGTATTTTCCTTCAGGACAAAGAAAACACTGTTTTCTGAAAAAAAAAAAACTGATAGTTGAAGTGGGGGTTCCTGAGACCAACTGTACATGTTTGCCCAGGGCTGGCCTACAATTAAGTGGCCTTAGTAGGCATGGATGGCTCTGATAAGGAGACAGTAACTAGAGCAACAGAAGGCTCATCTGAAGGCACGAATCATCATTGTTTGCTGCCTGGTCCATAACCAGACAGTCACTGGCCACCTTTTTTCCCTTTCTGGATGATGATGTTCTTCCTTCATTCCACGGGAATCTTGGCCCTAGGAGAAGGAACTAAGGAGGAGTAGGGTACCTTTGGCACACACTTGGTGAATATGAGTCATTGGGAGTGTAATGGCCTTTTCATTTACCTGTTTCCATGGTCACAGTTGTGTCTCAGGACAGGAAATAGCCCTCACACATTAGATGTCGTATCATTCCTCTTTAATAACCTCCACTGCCTTCCAGTTGCTTACAGGATAAACGGGTACTATGGGAGCACCCTGCACCCTGGTTTTGAGGCCACTCTCCTCTTCTTCCTTCACTTCCTCCCAAGACTTCATTCCAGTGCTTACAAAGTTTCTCTTTTCTCAAGACCCAAAGGTTTCCTTTGGAAACCTTCTCAGACTTCACTGATAACGGAGCTGCTTCTCCTTCCTCTGGGATCTCACGGTACTGTACTCTGTTCACCTTCTCACGTGGTACTCTGATTACTAGTTTATGCACCTGCCGTTCCCACCCACCTTACTCCGGACTGTGAGCTGTGCTCAGGCTGGTGTGAGTCTTGCTCATTCGAGTGTCAGAGCCTGTGTTCAACTTCTGGTTCTCAGTAGGCGTTCAGAAAAGGTTAACTGAATGGAGGGAAAGGGAAGAGAACTGGTCTTCTATTAATTTATTCAGCAAACCACGGGTAGGATGATACAGTGAGGCACTGATCCATTGTTAAAGAGAACAACGTTTTAATGAAACTTCTTTCAAATCTGTGAAGTACATGTGAAGTAAATGCTTTTATTCTTTCCATAGGACAGATTTCCAAACAATGATCACAGTGCTTAGGTTAATAAGATGCTAGACAGATGAGTAGCCAAAGAATGCTATGAAATAACAAAATCCCTTCAACCATATATCAAACGCAGATTACTGAGACATCAAGTGAAGGATGTTTAGAGTTACATGACTAAAAACAAGACATTACAGGAATCAAGTCATAAAACTAGAAAAAGTTATGTAACAAAAGGGCCTTTCAAAAGCTATTAAATGAGCATACGTGATAGATGAACCGATTGTATATCTGAAGCAGCTTATAGCACCGACATGTTGGCAGGACCTGTAGAGGGGGTAGGCCGCTGGACCGAGGCATTGCTGGGGGGTTGGGGGAAGTTCCCACCATCATCTACTTTAAGCCTCCTGTTCTACAGATGGTGAAACGGGGGCCCAGCAAGATGAAGTGCCTTGTCCAAAGTCACATGACACAGGGACACAAGATTGACTGGAAAACACTCCAGGGCTACGATCCAGGCCGCCCAACTTTAGGTACGGGTTCTATTTTAATTTACACATAATTCTATTTGATGCATGTGTCTTGTTCCCATTAACAGCTCCACCATAAAAGAAATCAATACAATTCATAACACAATCCAATATTATATTTTATTGAGAAGGACTGACACGTACTGTACTTCATTTCTTGGGCCTCTAGAGATCTTCAATCAATAGCTGGAATAATCGGGTAACACTTCTGTTGGTTGTAAATTGGCTGAGAAGGTGGCATCTGAAGACAACGTTCAGCACCTCTTTTACTACCTAAACTAACCTATGCCTCAAAATTGCTAAATCATTGGTATAATTTCTTTGATAGTTTAAAGATTAGTAAAGTACAAAAACAGTACAGAAAGAAAGCAGGTCAGGCCCTTCCTTTAAAAGGTAATTATGGCACTTTGATTTTAATAAGGTAAGGAAATGTGAAAACCAGATTCTTTTTGGAAGAAAAAGTAACTACAACCTCCACCCTTGTGGACAACCTGGTAGTGTTTCTATAAAATACTTTGGAGTCAAGAAATTTTGCCATGGTCCTGGGGCCTCGATTGGACAGATTTATGCACTAACGAACATACAAGAATGAGAAAAAAGATCAGCGTTGACAGAAGCAGTATTAAAGACAAAAATATAATGAACCTATTTAAATAGCTTCCTAGATATGAAGCCAAGAAGCTGCACGTATATTATGTGATTAGTGTGTCTTTAAAGTGGTGCTTTGGGGAAAGAAACCCACCGCATACGGGGCATTTGTCCATTATCATAAACGAGCTGCTGCAGAACAGTTCAATCGTGGTTCATAAGTAGATTAAAGCCTGATAAATAAAAGTGACTTCTGCATATCCTATACATAGATTTTCTTAAATAGACATCTAGCTGTTAAGTAAATCAACGTTTAGCTACAATTTTTCCGCACTGGGTCCAGCGTCAAAGGATGGGATTTCACTTCTCTTGAACATGCCCTACGCCTAGTTAAGAGCTACAGGGCAGTCGTGCTCCTAGCCTTTATGATATCTGACTGGCAAAAAATGTAACCTCCCGGGACCTCAAGTCCATTCCTTACCCACTACAAGCATATCAACAAATAGAGAGCAAAACCTACGTGGCTCCCGTTGGCTAAAAAGAACATAATTCAGTACTAAAGAATAAACTTATGCTTGCTACTGAAGAGGTGCACAGATACCGAGTAGGTATGATAAAATTTCATAAAAATATTTAACAAGCTGCATTATAAATACTTAAGGAAAAATGTTAAAATCAGAATGAAAATACGATTAGTGTTCTGAAACCATCAGTAGAAAAATACACTTGTTAAAGGAAAAGGCCTCATGGAGTGAAGCGTTAAGTGTCATGTGTTTTTAGTGCACATTTCGAATGTCACCCCTCTCGCTCCTGAACAGGTGCCTGTAATTTTCTTGGAAACCGGGCGTGTTGCAAAACCAAGCGGGAGAAGTCAAGGGGTTAAGGCCAGTGGCATGATTTTTCACATGATGTTGGAAAAGTGAGGGCAGTTCATAATGTTGAAAAGATAGGTGGCTGGGGAAGTCCTGACTCGGTTTGAGCAGCTTAAAAATAGCCCTGCATCTGTTCAGCCCCAGTCAGCTTCAGACTCGGAACCCGGACGAGCGACTGTAGGGGCGGGGCAGGGTGGGGGCTTGCGTTGCAGAGCAAGAGCGTGTAGGACTAGGGGAAAGCGCTGTAAATAGTTCCATCTTGGGGGCTGGATCCTTTTGGAAGGTGAGCTTTTAATCCTTCATTAGTAGATATTTTCAGGAACTAAAGATGAATTAAAATATCAGAGGCTTGTGTATGGCGTGCGCCCTTAAGGGAGCGTTTTTCGTTTAGAAAAGGGGGCCCTTCCTCCCTCTTTGATAAAACTAAGATAACTCTGTGGCCTAGGAGATTCCTTGGGATGCCCACGGGCAAGCCCCAGGACTTGAGGGCTGCGTTCACACCCAGAGGAACATCCAGGAACCTGAGGACAGCTGCTGGCACCCTGACGCTCAAGTGTACCCCAGGTCTAAGCCTGCCCCGGGGGTGGGGACAAGCAGGGAACACGCCCCCCCCCCCCCCCCCCGGGTATTTGACAAATCTGATGACTTTGGCTCCTGTAGGGTTCTTTCAAAACGGTCCCCCCGTTGGGGCCGGGAGGTGAGCCTCACCTCTGTGAACAGCCGTCCTGGCCGGAGAGGCGAGCTGAAGGGCAGGGCAGAGAGGAGGAAATCACAAAGTTTGGCTAAGAAAAGCCCACGGCTTTCACACATTCTCGCTCTCTCTGCGCCGGGCTCCCGTGGACCCTCCTTTACTTTAAGCATCAAGGCGGACCTTCCCCTGCAGGGCACGTCCCCCTCACTGCAGAGGACACGAGCCCCCGGGGAACAGCTGCCCACAGTCCTGCCCGGGGCCTCTTCCCCTTCTCAAGACCCGCGATCGCTGAAGCCCAAAGGCTCCCTTGGGAAAACCTCAGAGGAGGGCCTGTAGTTCGGGTTTTAATTTTACTTGGTGCAGTTGATGAGCTTAAGAGGTCAGCAAGGAGTCTTCCTTACTCAGTTACAGTGGCTCCGGCCTTAGGACGTTCTTTACTTTTTGTACGGGAACTGCGTACATACGACAGGGCAGAGGCCTGGCTTCCGGAGCCGAGGAACCGAGAGACCTTTTAACAAGGAAATAAGCCTTGAGACGTGTTTATACAAAGACTTACACACACGGCGCTCCTCACCCAGGGACACGGTGCAGGTCGGCACAACCCTAGGATGATGTAAAGGCTTTAGGACTTAAGTCATCATGTTTTTGTTTTTGTTTTTGTTTTTCGAAATGGCCCAAACCAACTTTTCTTAAGCAGTAACCCAAGAGGACACCATAGTTATCGAGTGGAAAAGAAGACCGTTATTCCGTATTAAATCAGAAAAAGGTGTTTTAAAGAAAAGGCAACTTGGAAAAATAAAGACGTCGGAGTCGATTATTCCAAGTTAGAGTATTTTAGTTATTAGCAGTGGTTACCAGATAAGCTGAAGGTAAATTTCTTCCAAGGAGCTGCTCATAATTTGCTTTGTTGAGGAGAGGCGAGGAGCCCTTTCACTGTTCCTCTATAGGATGATGCAAGTTTTTTTATCCTTGAAAGGGTTTTCTGAGGTCGGTATCCCTATCAGCAAAGGGTCGCTCCTGGCATGCTCCTCACAGTAGGACATGAGGTCCGCTGATGCCTTTGAAACCTGACGTGTAGAAAAAAACCAAAGCAAACAGACATTAAAAGTAGAGTTGAGGGTGCACTTGATGGGACGGGCACTGGGTGTTATTCTATATGTTGGCAAATTGAACACCAAAAAAAAAAAAAAAAAAAAGCAGAGTTGAATGCGGGCCCATTGGGTGGAAGACGGTGGGGGTGATACTTCGAGAGCCAGCCTCAGTCTCCTCTATTACTTGTTAGTTAATAAGGGGAAAAGGCTCATAAATGGACAAATCTGGCAGCTCTGGCCTTGAGTGATCAGACTTCAAGGTCAGACAAAAGGACATCACCTGTCTCCTGGGGTGAGCACAGAGGACGTCCCCCCCCCCCCCAGCTGGCACGTATTCCTGCCAAAGTAATGGGAATCGGATCATCGCACACAGGTGGTATCCAAAGTGAGGACCCTTCTGCAAAACACGCGCCTGGATCCTTCCAAAACGGACTGTGTGCTGGGTTATCAGAGGATCCTAAATGTCATCGTCGTACTGTGGCCGTGAAGAAGGATGCCCTTGTGTTAGGAGCCAGGTGGTGAAGTAATCAAGGGGGAAGAGTGACCATGTCTGCGAACGACTTCCAACTGGTTTATTATTTTATTTTTATTTTTTTTTCCAACTGGTTTATTTAGAGGATGTGTGTTGTGTGGGTGTAGACCGAGAAGGCACGTGTGTCGAACTGTTAATCATTGGTGGATCTTGGCAAAGAGCCTATGGGTGTTTGTTGCTACAACGGACTATCCATAGACTTGAAATGTCTCAGAGGGTGGGGAGAGGGGACGTATACGTGCATCGGGGGACGTTGTGCCTTCGTTTGTATTTGATACAGGACTGGAATTCAGAACGGAGTTCAGGAACTGGATTCCTGGCTTGGAGTCAATACTCAGAGAGAGAGAGAGAGAGCGAGCGGGAGGGAGTCAAGCTCTAGAAGAGCTTCGACAGTCACTGTTAAACCCTGAGCTTGGGAAAATAAAAAGGAGAGACCAAACCCGAGCGGGAGGACTCCGTGCCTTCCTCTGGCAGGAGTTAAAAGTGGAAAATGCCACGCCTGGGTGGGATATCCCACAGAACCGTCAGCCCAGAGCCTCCAGGCAAGGAGCACGGGGCAGCTGGGGCCTGTCAACAGCATAGGCAGCCTCCTGTTTTGGAGACAGGTGACTCTCCCCAGGCCCGGAGGAATGTATCAGGTGACTGCTTCAGTCTCTAGGAGACAGCATTCGTCACGACATTCCAGGGCGTGCAATGCCGCGTCCCCTCTTGGGATTCGGGGGGCAAGGGCTGCGCAGCCAGGCGACCTTACAAATGCCTTCCCGTTTCTTCCAGAGCTCAACGAAGGCTGGCACTACTGCCCCTGGGTGCAGAACGTGTCCTTAAAATAGTCTACATGCATTTAAAAAGCAGCGCGCCCTTCACAAAGGAGGCCGTGCGCGTTGGCTCGCTGCCACGGCTACTTCACCCGTATTGATCACTCTGGAGCGTTCAGCGAACTCCAGAGGTACGACGAGGGTGTCCACCCGGACCCCCGTCCCAAGGCGGAACAGAGATCACGGGACCTGACGGTGCTCGTTCAGGGAAGGCAGGTGCCCGTCCTGGGTTTTAGGTTTTTCCGTCCCAACAAGCTTAACTCCGACCCTTTGGCTGCCCAGAGCTTTGGGAGACTCCCCGCTTGGCCTGGGAGGATCCCGAGCCCAAGCTGCCCTATGGGGCATTACCTTCCCTGAAACGTGGCCCAGCGTCTGCAGAGCAGAGGGGCCTCGTCCCCGCCGGCTTCTCACCTTTATTCTCTCGATGGAGGCTTCCATCCTCAGCTGTTGCACCGTCCTCCGTGCCTGGGCGATGTTGTTGGTGCTTGCTGTTTTGCTGGACATCTTCAACTCTTGTTTCTACCTGAAACCTGAAAAGACCACAACTGTTTAGACGGTCCCAAAGCCTCCGTTTCCAAGGGGGAAAGGGTGCACCTCCCCAGTCGTCGCGGGCTCTGGGGGTAGTTGCTAGAAGGCCCTCCCCCAGGAGCTCCTCCATGAATCTTGCAGCACAAGGCATCTAATCCATGCACCCCAACATACGGCATGACGGAGCCTCTTCTAGAATCTTCTAAGAGGAAACACAAACATCTGGGGTAGTTAGGGGCCTGCGGCGGCTGCGAGCGTCTGCAAGCCAGGCCCCGTTACCCGTGGTCTAATATCCCTGCTCTGCACCTTAACGGAGGGTTTGACTTTTATCTCATTTTGGCTCCTTCACCCAACTACTACGTGGATTCAAGCCCCGGCACCAGGGAGCGGCGAGGGAGGGCACCTCTGCGGAACTGCACAAAGGGTGCGTTTTTAGACGCTATCGAGGTTTGCAGCTGTGTGAGGAATGCTAGGCCGATGGGGAAGTGTGTGTTCAAGAAAAAGTGGGGACCTTTCCGCTCAGACTGTCGGTGATGGACGCCCTGCGTCCACGCCAACGTCGAAGGGGATCCGTGGAGTGGCTGGGAATTCTAACCCAACTCCCCCCGCCCCCCTCTAGTGGCCTCCTCGGGCACTAGGAGCCTGGCCCCATTGGGGCTGTGGCTGACGACGCTCCTCTGCGGCCTGGGCCCTGGGGTCACGCTGCTCTCCTGCTCTGTCCCCAGCCACCTGGGAAGGGCTCGAGGGGACCTCCGGGGCCATGAGCCCGTCCAGGGGTGGGTGCCACAGGCAGGCTGGTGGGGGCGGGTGCCCCCGTGTCTGGGGGATGGGAGCCGGCCAGACCTCAGGGTGGCGGCCTGAGGACCTGCGGGATCAGGTGGACGCAAGGGGCCTCCCCCACCAGCTGGACTCAGTGTCTGTGCCCCAGGCGCCGGCGGGGACCTGGGCTGATCCTGCACTCCCGAGGCCACAGGAGGGTTGTGAGCTGGGGCCACAGAGGCTGCAAGACGGGAGGCCACCCCCTCGCCCCCCGACGGCAGCCACGTCCTGCCCCCTGGAGCCCCAACGCCCCCGGCTTCTCGGTGGCCACATCCACCCCTGGGCCCCCGGTGCCACCCTGCCCTCCTCCCACAGCTCACCCCGCCCCCCCCCCCAGGCCGAGCTCTGAGCACTGGCCCCGCCTCCAGAATGTGAGTGGGATTCCCCTGGGCAGGGCCTGCCTCCCGGGCTGCAGCCTGAGGACTCTAATGTCCCTGTGGCGGGAGAACAGCGCAGCACCCTCCTTGCCTCCAGGGCACGCGGGCTCCCAGGCCCGAGGCAGCTGTCCTGCCGCTGCTCCACCTCCCAGGCACCGGCTGGGGCCACCCCGTCCCCCGCGTGGCTCTGAGCAAACCGCTCACTGTCAGGCTCCCTCGCAGGAATACCTGTGGGGGGGGGTCCCGCAGAGCACTTCCTCCCGGCCTGTGTGCCACGCCCCGTCTGGGCCTCCCGAGGGGGTGCTCTGCTCTTCCCTGGGGGTTCGGGCCACCAGCTGGATAACAGGCTCGCTCTCTTCTTGGAGAAGAGCTTCCGAGGCAATGACCGCCTGGCGTCTGCACGGAGGCTCCGGTGCACATGCTGCCTTCGTGTGCAGGGGCCGTGAAGCCGCGCCCTGCCCTGAAGGGTGGATTACGGTTTCGTCCTCACCTTAGGGATGAGGCCCCCCGAAATTCAAGACGCTGGCTCCTGGCTCACGCGGCTCCTAAGCCCAGAACCAGCCTGTAGGCCTCTCCCCGCAGCAGCCACGCTCCACCGCCCAGGGAAGGGTGCAGCCTCCGTTCATCGGACTCACACTCGGGGCGAGGGTGACCCTGACACCGACGACCTGGAGTCCTGGGCTTGCTGAGTGCCCGGCGTCTGTGCAACGCCCCTTCTGCTGCGGAAAGTGTCTGTTCGTCTAGTGCCCTGAACAGCAGACGTCCCCTGTCCTTTCCACGAGCTGAGCAACATGTTCTGGGTGTCGCGGGGAGGCAGGGCTGAGGTCAGTGTTTGGAGACCCCGGGCCACTAGCGCTGTCCCTGCCCCAGAGGCGCAAAGGTCTGCACGGACCCCATAAAAACTCCACGACCTTGTCACTCCGCTTCGGCCGTCAACACCTCCCTGTCCTCGTCGTCCCTCTGTCTGTGGCAGGGGTGCAGGCAGCAGCCCTACCTCACGGGGTGGCTGGAGCGCCACCAGGAGTGTGGGCACAGGGCTGTGCCCCGTGCACACGGCTATTTAATGATCGCGGGTCCCGAGGTTCCCTGGCAGACGAGGATTCACGCACGGCAACCCGATCCGGCAGCGGCATCTTTCTAACACGGCCGGAGACTGGGTCCGTGAGCCGTCCAGGAACACACATTTCACCCCGTGCACACTTAGCTTCAGCCAGAGCCTACAGGCTGAGGGCAGACGTGTTTGGTTGGGCCCTGCACAGGGTTAATGCAAGCGCGTGCACGTGCATGTGTGCACACGTGCATATATGTGTGTCCGTGCACGTGCATGTGTGTACATGTACGTGTGTGTATGTGCAGGTGTGCACACATACACGTGTGTGCGCATGTGCATGTGTGTACACGTGTGGGCATGTGTCCATGTGCGTGCATGTATAGGTGTGCGTGGTGCGCGTCTGCATGTGTGCACATGCGTGTGCACGTGCGTGTGTGCATGTGTACACGTGTGTCCATGTGTCTCTGTGCGTGCATATGCATGTGTGCATGCAGGTGTGCACACGTGTGTGTGTTTTAACTTGAAAGATATATCACTTTAAGATGAAGAAAGATTTCTGGAAAAATGAGAAAATCTTGCAGAACCGGGCTGGATCCGCGTGGCTGCTGCTGTTTTGACATTTGCCGGCACACCTGCGCGTCCCTCCAGCGTAACCTGTCCCACGGCCTAGGTCGGGACCGGAGCTCACTCCTGCCCTTGCCACCACCGAGCGCCGGGGCCCCGGGGAGGGACTCATGACCTACTTAAGCCTCAGATTTCTCATGGGGAAAACGGGGATAATAGTACTTCTCTATTTCAAAGGGCTGTTGAGAGCATCAGATAAAACGAGCGTGCGAGAGCAATAAATGCAAAGACTGCTTGTGCTGAGCGTGAGCACCTACGTCCTCTGGTCACGTCCCCTGGATGGGCTCTCAGCACCCCGCAGCCCAGCACCCAGCACCTTGCACCCAGCACCGGGCTACCCCGCCCTCCCCTGCTGTGCCCCGAGCCCAGCGCTGCGCAGACAACACCGCCCCCCCCCCCGTCATCAGCTCCAGCGTGCCTCCCCCACGGTGACACATCGAGGTTCTAACCCCCAGCAACCCAGCTGCCTTTGGAGACAGGGATTTTAGGGGTACGATTCTGTGGGATGAGCTCAGTAGGCTGGGCGCCGATCCCATCCGAACCGGATCCTCACGAGAAGACTGTGGGCACGGGCCCTGTCGCTGCCTGACTGCAGACGGCTCACCTCCCGGACAAATCTGGCCTTGCAGCCTCTCGGGTCTGTGGGGCTTTGTGACGGCAGCTCAGGCCAACTGAGGCACCGAGGCTCTCCCCCAACTAGGGGTCCCCAGGGGTGCACGCGTCGGGATCTGGGCAGCGCAAGGAACAGCCAGGACTTCGGGCCTAGCTCACCGTTGGCTGTGCCCTGGGGAGGGGGGACCTGGGGGGGCTGTGCCCTCGGGATGAAGGCAGGCTGTGCCCTGGGGACTGGGGGGCAGGGGCATCCTGGCGTCCGTCAAGAGCTCAGGGTGCTGACAAAGTAGGTGCAGCAGCCTCGGGATTCCCGGCGCCCTGCTGCTCCAGGCCTGGCCGTGCTCTTGCTGGAAGTCAGCCCCTGCCCCCGCAGCCCCTGCCCCTGCCCCCGCAGCCCCTGCCCCTGCCCCTGCAGCCCCCGCAGCCCCTGCAGCCCCCGCGCTGGTTGCACAAGCTCCCTGGCCCCTGTGAAGCACATTGTGCTTGTTGTGAAGGGACGCCGACGGCTGCAGGATGTCAGGCTGCTGCGGGGTGACCTCGCTGTTTCTGCCCAACGCCCCGGAGCCTGAGAGTTGACAACAGGGACGTGGGACCCGACGCTGCCTCCTGCCTGCGAGCACAGCCCGCGGCTGCAAGAGCAAGCATGGCCTGTGAACGGCACGTCCTGCCCTCCGCGCGGCTTCGAGAGCAAAGGGCACAAGGAACAAGGGCCAGGCCAAGGGGGAAGCGAGGGGCGGGGCGGGGAAGGGTGGGCGCTGGGCGAGCGGCGCTGTTGCCGGGCTCTGTGGGCCCAGGGTCGGCACAGGGAGGACAGCAAACAACCGTCTCTCAAGACCTCAAAGTCCTCTCAGGGTCGTTCTCCGGGGGCTCCGCGGTGGAGCCTTGGCCTTTAGCTCCAGGCACGGCCCCGGGGTCCTGGGATGCAGCCCCGGGGGGCCCCTGCTGCGGAGCCTGCTTCTCCCTCCCTCCCTGTCAAATAATAAAACCCCTGAGGAGCAACCAGGTAGCAGGTTTTACACCTGCAGACGCTCGCAGCCCCACCGGGACCGTGGAGGAGCTCATGCCGCCTGCTGCCCACGCACACGTCGAGTCCTGATGACGACCCTGGACGGCGATGCTGCTGTCACGATGATTCCTGACGACTACCCCCATGTACGCAGTAAGCAAATTCCGTGGATCCTTTCATTTAATCCCCTCAGAGAGGAGCTCTGTTCCCGTTTCGGTTTCACAGAGGAGACGCAGGTCACAGGGGTCTTGCCAAAGGCCGTGCCGATGCCCGTGGTGGGGTAGACCGGGGCCCCCTGACTCCCGGGGCCGTCCTCTTCACCGCCTGCAGGGCCTGCCTCTGACCGTCAGGAACACGCGGAGGACCGGGAGGCGGCAGGGAGCACTCCACACGGGGCCTGCTGCTCAGGCACGAGGTCGTCACGGCTCAGCCACAGCGGCCGGGTCCAGCGGCCTTGGGAGAAGGCCCGAGGGAAGGAGAACTGGTTCTAGGTAAGACACAGGATGACCCCACGTCCCCGGGAAGCTGCAGGAAGCCACGGAAGTGAGCCCGTCTGGCTAATAAACCCGGAGGCAGCTGCAGAGCCTGAGTAGAGGGTTCCTATCTCCCCTGTGTGTCTGCAGCATCTGGGGCACCTGTTATAAGAAAAAGTCTGATCCAGTCGTCTGTGGCAGGACCAGGAGTCCGTGTTAAGCCTTCCCACGTGGGGTGCCCAGGGGGCTCCGCTGGTGAAGCATCTGCCTTCTGCTCAGGTCGTGACCCTGGGGTCCTGGGTTCGAGCCTCGTGTCGGGCTCCCTGCTCAGCGGGAGCTGCTTCTCCTTCAGCCCTCCTCGTGCTCTCTCTCAAATAAACAAATAAAATCTGAAAAACAACCCAAAAAGCTTCCTCGGTGATTCCGAGTCAGTTTGGAGAGAAACGCCAATACGATGCTCAGTCTTGCCTGGTGGTTCTACCCATGTGTGCGTTTGCTCAGGAATTAAAACACGTCCACGTGAAAGAACGGCTCTTCCCACCCATACTCAGCCTTCAACGCTGTGAACGAGGCCGGGGAACTGCCGACTGCTCCCACGACCCGGACTTGCAGGGCCAAGCACCCGACGTCAGCGCTGACGGCCCCGCGGGCTCCCCGCTGCACAGGGTTAGGCGGTTTCCGAGCAGCCCTTCCTTCTGGGAAGTGCCTCCTCTTGGTGCCGCTGGCCCATCCTGTCCTTGTCCCCTGAGGAGCCTTTCTACGGCTCCTGTTCCTTCCTCGGACTCGGTTTTCGGGGGCTCCGTCCCGCAGGACAGAGGCAGCGGCGTGGTTGGGGCTGCGACCGTCAGGTCCGGCGGTGCCTGGCTCGTCCCTGCTGTGACCCGCTGCCGTCACTTCTCCAGACTCAGGCGTGTGCGTCTGAGCTGGGACGGGACGACGCGGGTCCCTCGGGTGGGGCTGTTGGCACGAGGAAACCGAAGAGCCTACGTTGGGTCCTGGGCGCCTGCCTGACCCGAGGGCCTTCATGGACAGACGAGGCTCCGGCTCCATGACCCACAACTCCCAGCCTCAGAGGGAAGCTGCTGAAGATCCCGCACACAGAGCGCTGCTGCTTCACCAGGACCCCGGAGGAGCCGGCGACGCCCGCTGCCTGCGCCCACCCTCTTTCCGAGGCCCTGTCTTCGGTGAGTGACGCCCTCATGGCCCTGGGCGCTGCACGTCCCTCCCCCTAATTCTTGAGACCACGCACTGGGTATGGGTGCTGGGGGGATGGGTGCACGGGGGGTCCCAAGGGGGCAGCACTGGGTATGGGATGCTGGGCCGCATGGCAGGTACCGAGGGGGTGGCACTGGGTACAGGTGCTGGGGGGGCAGGCGGGTCTCGAGGGGTGGCACTGGGTATAGGTGCTGGGGGGGGGTGCGGGCTGGAGGGCGAGTCCCGAGGGGCAGCCCTGGGCTTGTGCCGACCGTCCTGTGAGGGGGGAGGGCCCAAGGGTTTCTGAGCAGCAGCACCAGGCACAGGGAAGGTGAGAGAACAGCAGAGGAGGAGAAGGGTGAGCAAGCAAGGGGCGCCATGGCCGCGGGGGTGGGGGGTTACGAGGGCCCGAGGGCCGGGGCTGAGGCCGGAGCTCTGGGATGAGGCCCGGCAGGTACAGGGGAGGAGACGCAGGGGGGCGGGCGGCCAGCGGCTCAGCCCAGGAGCCTGCCCACAGGTTGGGGACAAAGGGCCACCAAGCAGAGCCGCACGCAGACCTCGTGCGCCAACCTGCAGGCGTCACACGGAGCAAAGGAAGCCAGGCTCGGGCGCAGGCGCCATTGATTCCGGGTGCAGGACGTCCGAGGTGCGGCCAGTCCTCGGCGACGGACACTAGCTGGGCAGAGAGAGGGCGAGAGGATGGTGAGCAGGCCTGGCCGCGGCGTCGGGGACGGGCACGCGGGATCCCTTCTTCCTTGGCGCGTGCTTGAGAATTTCAAGAATTAAAAGTAAAAGTAAGGCCCTATGATCCTAGGACCTCACGGTCCGTACACGATGGCGATTTCCACGAGGAGATGAGCTGTCATTAAAGGGTGGAGACGCGGGCCCTCGGCATCCAGCACTTCCTCCGCCAGGTCAGGCCTGTTAAGTGGAGGAAGTCACCCCCCCCCCCGCCCGCCGGCAGCAGGTGACGGCCTGAAATTCTTTCCCAAAGAAATGGTGACTCAAGGGTCTGCGGTGACTCAGGTGGGTGGAGAGGGCCCGAGCCCCATGTATGGGGATCGTGTCACATCACAAAAGGGCTTCACGTGCTCCTTCCCCAGATGCAGTATCTGCTGCACCAAGAGGCTGAGTCGGAGCAGCTCAGCGTTCAGCTTGGGCTCCAAGTGCGTGTCCATAGGGAGCCTCACTGAGCATCTGCGGGCCATGACCCAACACTACACAACGGCGTCCGTGTCTGGGGCGCGGTCCCCAAACTCAGCCCCGGTGCGTGCAGTCCTCCCCCGTCCTTAGGGCAGGGGCGGCGGCGGGCCTTGGGTTGAGGTCGCCGCGACCCCTGGCTTCCAGAGCAGCTCCTGCCCGGCCCCTGGCCTGGTGACTCCTCCCCGTCGGCACGGATACGGTGAAGTAATGGGAAGGAAACGGGTACCCCGGGCGCCCCGGCCTGTGCGGGTCGGGGCCTGAGCTGGAGGGGAGGCGCTGCTCCCCGCGGTGCCCGGGGCGTGGCTGACGCTCCCGAGCAAATCACCGTTCACCGGCAACATGGACACCTCTCCCCTGTGCAGACGCTTCCTCGTAAAGCCCCTTGACCCTTCCTGGCCCTTAATGAAGCCGGGGTCACGCTCGGGAGGGGGACCGCAGGACACCGCACGCACGGAGCTGCCTGTGGCCCAGCAGGAGTTCCAGAGGCTGAGCCGGTGCTAGCACAGGTCCTCGGGGCGCTCGCGTGGGAAGACTCCTGTCTCCTCGCGGCCTGTCGGGAGCTTCCCCTCTTCGGCTTTCAGTAACCACACGTGCTTCCTTGCTTCCGCCTGGGACGTGAGGCCCCGGTAATGCCGGTGTCTCCGACGCGGAGCACAGCTGACTTCACAGGTGGACCGAGTGGAGGCAGGAGCCGCAGGGCGCCTGGAGGCCGGCTCCTCGTCCGCTGCCCTCCAGGAGCCCGAGCCACCCCTCGTGGGCGCCCGCCTGCAGGCCTCCTGCCCAAGCCGCCCACAGGAGCGCACCCGGGCAGGTCCCGCAGGGCTCTGGGCGCAGTGGGGCAACCCGGGCATGGGGCCGGCCTCCCCGTGAGCTCTGCTCCTGTCCTCCTCCTGGGCCTCGGCCGCCCCGGCCCTAAACAGGGAGAACCACACGGGTGCTCCGTTTCTGTTCCTTTCCCTTCTGATTTCAGAGTTGGGACGTGGCTGGCACGGGGCGCCCGCTGGTTTCAGGAGCAGCCGTAGCTTCGGCCGGTCTGCAGGCCGCGCGTGTCCCCGCACAGGCTCTGGCGGGGTCACGGCCTGTGTCCCCTGCGCCGTGCCCTCCACCCCCCCACACCCGGGTGCCTGCATCTCCCGCCACCCCCCCACTTGCCTCTGGCAACCGTCGGTCTGTCTGCTCTATTACCTGCTGGAGTCTGCTCATTGGTCTCTTCCTGCTTCCCGGGCTCCACGTCCTTCCTTTCCCAGCCTCAGAGCTGTCCCATGCGCTGGCTTAGGCTCCCGACGCCCACGTGGGTGAACCGCGACCACGGCGGGTGCGGGTGCGGCGCGGGCTGCACCGGGGCCCTGCAGGGACGATGCGTGTGGCGGGAGGGCGGTCGGCGCGGGCAGCTCCTGGAGCCGGGGACGTTACGCGTGTGCAAGCCCCTAACTGGGAGGGGGCAGGACGCTGTGCCCCCAGGCGTGTGCCCCTGCAGCGTCTGCGGCGTGTAAAGGTGCAGCCCGCCCCCAACGACGGCGAGCTCGCCTTCAGCCAGAAGGTTCTGGGGAAGGACGTCAGAGGACGCGCATCTCTGGCTCCGCTACCCTGTGCAAGGGCTCCGTGCCGCCCGTTGGCGGAGGCACCACGCGACACACGCCCCCGAACACGACCGTCGGGTGGGAAGGCGCTTCCGTGGAACGTCAGGATTCCAGGCAAAGCCAGAGAACTCGCAACAGGCCCCTGATCTGGCACCGACGCCGCGGGACAGTCCTCCCCACCCCGTCCCCAGCTGTCCCCGGGGACGTCTCGGTCTCCAGCCTGCCGCCTGCGTCCTCTGAGCGCGGCTGTCCTGGGTGCCTCTGCCCGTTTCCCCGCCATCTGCCTCCAGGGCTGGCACAGGGCAGGCCCCGACGGTCGCAGGACCCCCACGCACCCTGCCTGCCCCCGACTCCCCTCCTGGACGCAGGGCCCTGCTCTGGACCCGCTTCTCCGCCTCCCCTCGCAAACAGCCTTCATCCCGTGTCTCCAGACCCCACACCTTGTGCCCCGTGCCCCTGACACCCAAGGAGGGACCATGTGCCACGGGGAGGGCAGTGGGGGCCTTGCCGAGCCTGGTCCCCCCCAGCTGCCCATCTGCCAGGCAGCCGCCGCCCAGGAGCCTACATGACCGCAAAGCCGCCTCCAGAATCGGGCTGTCCCGCGAGCCGGGGGGTGGCTGGGAGCAGGGCCGTGCCCCCGACGGGCCGTCCTTCTGCCCCCAGAGACAGGCCTGCGCCCTCCCGGCTCCTTGATGCAACGACCCCGCCGCCCTGGGCCCACGAGCCTTCCAGAATCCCGCGCTAGTCGACGTGCCCCTTGAAAGCCGCGGGCAGGGTGGGGGGACAGCCCCGGGGTGTGTCTGCCAAGGCCACGCCTTGAGGTGTTGGGGCCACACCACCCACAAGGGCCCCACGTGGGGACTGCGCAGGCGACGGCACAGCAGGGAACAGCCCTTGACGGAGCACACGACATGGTGAGGACGCCCGGGCCCGGACACGCACACCACGGATACGGTGATGCCACCGGGGCCCCGGACACATGCACCCTGGATACGGTGATGACGCTGGAGCCCAGACACACCTGCCCTGGAGGGAGGAGGACCCTGACCCCGGGCACCTGCCCTGAGGGAGGACCCTGACCCCGGGACACCGGCCCACTGAGGGCGGCTGAGGCCGGCAGGTGCCGGGAGAGCAGCGCCGAGGGCCAATCTGCAGTCCCCAGAGCCCCCGGCCGGCACCCGGTCCCCTGGGAGGGCCTCTCCGCTGCAGGGTCAGAGGGCAGCGGTGACTCTGAGGGCGCAGCGCTCAGCAAGTGTCTCCCGTCCGCTCAGCAAGTGTCTCCCGTCCGGAGCTCAGGGCCCCCGGGGGTTTGCAAGGGCAGCTTCTCGCCTCAGCTCGAGCTTGTGCTCCTTCCTCAGCAGCACCGCTCCTGCAGCCTCGGCCCGGGGCCGCCCTTGAGCATGTGGCGACGCCAGATAGCTGTCCCCCGTCCCAGGAGGTGTGCCTGCCAACCTTGAGCCCAGCCCAAGCTGCTATCTGGGCCACCAGACAGAGGGCCCAGCGAGTCCAGGGGAGGGGAGGAGGTAGGGAGGAGAGTAGGGGGGAAGGAGAGGAGAGGGACAGGGGAGGGGGGAGGAGGCAGAGGAGGGCAGTACAGAGAGGAGGGGGGAGGGGGAAGGAAGTGGAGAGGACAGGAGGGGAGGGGGAGGAGCAGGGGAGGGAGATGAGGGGAGGGGAGAGGTCCCCGCTGCACCAGGACCTGCAGCCACCAGGGCCAAGGCAGGGGAGGCTAAGTCCCTGGCGGCCCCGGGGTGAGGGGAGAGCCGCGGGGAGCCCGGATGCGCAGGCTGCTTTGCCGCGGGGCCTGCAGGTGCACTTGCGACCCAGTCCCAGGAGCTGTGCGGAGGCTCACACGCGGGGGCAGAGGGAGCTGCTGGGACAGAGCTGAGGCTCCCGCTCTTGCTACTCAACGGACCTCGCACACCCCGCCAACTGCGGCCCAGCCTCAGTTTCCTCATGTGCAGGATGGGTGCCCCAGGGAGCTGCAGAGAGGCTGAGCAGTGGGCCAAGCTCCTCAGGGCCGGCCCTGACCGCCGACGCCCGGCCGCCATGGGAACGGCCACCAAGGGCCGTGAGGAGCTCAGGAACCAGGGACCTGGGAAGATGCCGTCAGAAGGAGCACAGGCTCCCCAGAAGCACCGGCTGCTCAGCGGCGCTCC